AGGCCCTGGTAGACGATGAGCGAGCTCTGGCTGTGGAAACCGTGAGGCTCCAGCACCCGCGGCGGCTGCGCTCGGTAGTGCTCCTGGCGCGTGTAGCGCTGCGGGTTGGGCAGGTCTCGCAGGCGGATGACGATGAAGGGGCAGAAGTTGGTGAAGGTGAGCGTCTGGTGGGTCCTGCGCAGGGCGGGGCCAGCGAGTGATCTATCTGTGCCCACCGCCAGGCCAGGCCTCCGCCGGCCGACTCGCACTTCCGCGCTGCTGACAACCCGAATCTAATTCTGCCCTGACCCTCCTCCTCAGCCTCTCCCCTTGTCCCTGGGGCCCTCAGACTGGAGTCCCCGACATTTTCCTACAGGGCCCGCAAAACAGAGGTGCTCACCCGCCTCAGCAACCTTCCACCTCTCCCCAGCTACACTCCAGTGCGGACACAGACACCCCCCTCCGCTTCATGTCGGCCTCCAGGACTCTCCAGGTGAAGTTCCAGTTCCTCCCTGTGACCAGGGCTGGCCTCAGGAGTCCAGCTGCCTTCACCTCCACACTCTGGCTACACCTTTAGGGCCGCAACAGCCTGCTCCGACTTACAGGCAGCCGATTCTTCACTCTTCAGCGCACAGGGCTCACACCTCTTCCTCCTTGAAGCCCTCTCTGATGCACCCTCCCCAGAATGGGTCAGGCCTCTCCTTTGGGCTTGCACTGGCCCTGAGCCTTGTCGCCACAGCCCTCGAGGCCGTCCCTGGGGAGGGCTTGGCCTCCCTGCTGAGCAGTGCCTGGGCTCTCTCCCTGCTGCCACCACCCAGGCCCCTCACCCGTGCTGCTCCACGAGGTGCTGGTTGTCGAGCTGCTGGTACTTCAGAAGCTGCTCCACAGGCACATGCCTCTTGGCCAGCCAGCCCTGCTGCCCCTTCATGAGGTACACCAGCTGCCGAGGGAGGGCGCGGTCGGCGGAGCAGCTAGCAGCCACCCGGAGGCTGACCCTTTTCTCCCCCCGCCCCCTGTGGCACCTGGTACAGTTTTCTGTTTTCGTAGAAGAGGGTGACCATGGTCTCTTGGGGCGCATAGAGAGAGGAGAAGTACGTCATCTGGATATGGACGTGCACACTCCAGGCTCTGGAGGGGAACAGCTTGTACACCTGGTAGGTGCCCTCCAGCAGGTACCAGACCTGGGGTGCGACAGGTGTTTGTGAATAAGTGTGTGCAGTAAGGATGTGTGACCCCCACACCTCCCGCTGCTGAGTCGCTCGAGGGGGTGGTTGGTCACGCGCCTCCAGCTGGAGCCCAGGGAGCTCCCGCCCTTCTCAGTATCCTCTCTAGTGCCCTCAGCCCAAGCCACACTGCTTCCTGCCCCCACGTGCCGTGACCAGTTGCTTCACTGCTGCAGCCAGCCTAAACCTAAGCACTCCTCACATTAGGCACCCCGAAAGGGTGGGCTTCCTAGGACCAAGCCCCCTTTTTTTTTTTGCCTCCCTCTTTCTCCCCTCCAGGGCTTCACCTACCACCTCCTTGGCCTCAGTTTCCTATCTCTGCTCTGACACCCACATTGCCCTGATACACTGGACTCTCAGCCTCATCTCTTCGTGAGCCTCTGCCGGGAGGACCCCTCCAGTTTCCAGGCCATCGTCCCTCTTCTGGAAGCTACCCTGCACCAGCCCCAGACTGTTGTGTGAGCAGCTGCTGTTAGTCTGCCACAGTGTGGGAGCAGGTCTGCCTTGCCAGCTGGACAGGGGCCCTGCGAGGGTAGGGGGAGGGGGCAGACTCAGCCGCCAGTGTCGCCACACAGGGGAGCTCCCTGTTTATGCAATTCACAACTCCAGGACGGAATCAGGAAGCCCCCTCTGGATACCAGGTCCCGGCTCTGAGCTCCGGACTTCTGCACTGCCGAGGGCTCTGGAGGACACTCATCTTCTTTGAGATCGAGGGGGTCATCTCCACAGAGGGCGTCTGCTGCCTTCCCCCAGGGTCCCGCGGCCATTCCCTCCCCTGGGCTCCTTTACCCTGATGGGGAGAACAGAGGCCCCTGGGGCTGGGCCGGGGGCAGCCGGCAGAGGCGAGGGCGGCCCACCTCCTCGGTCTCCGTGACAATAGCCATGTCCCCGTGGAATGAGTTGACCATGTACTTGATGGACAGCTCCTTGGGGAAGTCGGCCAGGTAGATGAAGTTTTCATTGTTATAGCTGCACAGTCCGAGAAAGGAACTCAGGCCCCAGAAGTCTGTTACCCCCAAAACTTCAAGCCTAACAGGAGGCAGGAATCCTTCCCTGAGTTCTCCACCAGCCTTGTGAGAGCATGCAAAGGAACCCCGGGATTCTAACTTCTGCTCTCGCTCGCTGGGGACCCGCCTCCCTGTAAAGAGTCTCAAAGGGCAACCTGGCAGTGTGCCAACAGCCCTGGGAGTGTTTCATGGTTCTCCAGGCTCCCGAGGGGTGAAAACCTTACCCCAGATAATCCTCTTCCCATGCTCACATAGGTGAAGTCCTTGTATCAGGTTTAAGTCCCCCAGTGTTAAAATATTAGCTCCCCCCCTCCCAGCCCCAATTACCCCAACCCTGTTTCCCCCACCTAAGTCTTAATAACTTCTGGGGTTGGGCATACTCAAGCCCTGGTGACTTCCCAGAGGGTCCCCACCCAAACGGGGACGGGGCAGAACACGGCTGGCCACCTACCTCTGCAGCAGGAAGTTACCCCAGATGAACAGCAGGTGGTTGTAGGGGTTGTAGAACATGCCCTTGGGGATCATGGGGAAGCTGGTGTAAGACACTGTCCCCAGGATCAGGAAATCCAGGTTCCGGGCTGGCCAGGGCAGAGGCAGAGTAGACATGGCAATGAAGAGGGGTCACCTGAACCCCTCCCAGACCCCACCCTTGAGGGCCCCTCCGCCTTCCTCCTACCGTCAGGGATGAATGGTGGAATGGTGTAGAGGGCAAACAGGCTATCATTGGCTAGAGGTGGGAAGAACACAGCAAAATTTCCTGAGGCCCCGAGCTTGTAACAGCTGCAACTGAGCAAGACGCGGCACCCCAGCTCCGCCGAGGCTCCCATTTGGGGGGCGCCTTGGCGCTTCGCGATGGCTTTTTGCGCGGGTTACAGTAAGGCACCGCCTCCCCTGTCTGGGCAGTGCAGTGCACAGCCTCACCCCTGGGCGTGGCAGCCCTAGTCTTCTTTTATTTATTTTACTTCAAGTCAACTCAAGAGCGCTTCACGGCTCTTCCAGATCTGGTCTCTGGCTCACCTCCCCCGCCTACCCCCTTTCTCCCCTGCGGTCCAGTTACACTGGCTTCATCCCGGTTTCTCCAGCCTACGGAGCCTCTCCCCTGTTCTCCACCTTACACCTATCCAGGAGTTACACAGCCATTTCCCACCCATCCGCTGGAAACAGACCCAGCAGAAAAAGCATGCGGGTCACAGCCTGGGCCCCTGCCCGCCCCCCGCTCTGCACTCGGTGGCCCCCCAGAGCCCCAGTTACCCATGTAGTAGCTGACCACTTGGAAATTCTTGGCAGTGGTTTGGCCCTCCATTTCCACCAGCAGCAGCAGTTTCCTATTGTTGTCAATGTATGTGGCCCAAATTATGGAGCAGTTGGCAACTGAACGGGGAAAAGAGAGGTCCGGAGCACCCCCAGAACCGGGACCCGCCCCCTCCCTGCAGGTCCTTCCTGTGACAGCCACACCCAGCCCTCCCCCAGACACCGCCACCCTTCTCGCCCGCCCGCTGCAGACCCCTCTGGTGAAGGGTACCTGTTAGCATCTCGCACACCGACTGCCTCTTTGGTATCAACTTGAAGGACACACGGCCTTCTGCGGGGCAGCCGAGATCACGCTCAGGCCCAGCCTTCCAGCACCCACCTGCCCACAGCTCTCCACGCTGGCCACCAGTTCCCCACTTCTGCAGGCTGGAGGGCCTGCGCCTCCCTTACTCCAGGGACCCCAAGGGCAGATCTCACCCCCTAGCTGGCCAAGTCCACCATCTCTTGGCCGCATGTCAGTCTGGACATGCTACCCAGCTGGGCCACCCTGGGACTTGTACTAGAGCGAATGGGGGAGTTGTTTCTCTCCTTCTCTTGGGGTGACTCAAACTAGTGGGGGAGGTGATTCCCCCAGCTCCTGGGGGGCCATCTTTAACTGCCCCAAGAGCAAGGTCGACCTGAACATGAGGTCAAATCACAGGGCTAGTCATAAACCCCACCACCCTCGTGAGTCACCTTGCCCTGTACTCTAAGGCTGTTCTGTGTGCCCGCTGATGTCCCATTTTGCAGGTAAGGAAATGAAGCCAAAAGGACTTGGCCACAGAGGCCGAGCATTCTCTCTCCAGAACCTGTGCTATCTGTAGTCACACTGCCACATGCTGCTTTGCCACGGGAAGGACAGGAGTCCTGACGACATGGCCTGCCAACCCCTGGATCCAGCCATGCCTGAAGCTGATCCGCCCACAAATTCTTTATAGGGAAATGCCTTTGGCACTGAGCTTCTGTTCTTTGAAACCAATGACTTACCTATTTCATGATGAAAGATATACAGCCCAGCCCCAGCCCTGGCCTTACAAAGGATCTTCCCCCCTCACAGAGATCTCCATCCAGCCTGAGACACCTCCCAGAGAACTCTTAGGGGTAAGAGGGTATGGCGGGGTCTCTTGGGCTGCCGGAAGCCACCCTTACCCGTGATGGTCCCAAAGTGGACGTAACCTTCATGCTTGCCGGTGGAGAGGGCCATGATGTACTCAGAGCCGTTGCTGTGGAAATACACCGGGCACAGCCTCTTGATGCACTCGTTTGCCAGGACGCGCACCCAGCTCCCTGTCAGGGCCAGCGGGGGGCTTGAGGCCCAGGCATTTGGACCTGGGCTCCCACCCGCGTTTTCCTGGCCTCAGAGAGCCCATATGTGTCCTCCCTGCCAGAGCAGCTGTTCCATGTGGCGTCTCGGGGTCCCTGACATGGGGCTCCAGTTGCTTCTGAGAAAATCTCCCTGCTCAGATCTAGCGGGAGATGAGGCTGGCTCCACCTCACACTTGCATTGCCCTGGTCAGGGCTGACCACGTTGAGCAAATCAGAGATCCCAGGAGGCAACTGCTAACAGAGCAGCTCTTTCTGAGGGCAGGCTAGGATGCAGTTGCCGGGAGGAGGAGGCAGAGACCACGGCAGCCAGAAGGAAGGGCAGGGTATCCACTACAGGAACCCTCTAGATCCAACCTTGCCTGAAACCAGTGTTTTCTGGTTTTTCAGCTAAAACAATTAAAACTTCCTTTCTCTGTACCGAGAAAGGGATTTGATTCTTCCCACAGTCAAAACCAGGACCCTCCCTGGTAGCGCACCGGGTTAAAGCACAGCACCAGGAAGCTAGCTACAGCACTGTGACACGAGTTTGATCCCCGGCGAGGGAGCTGATCCAAGGGCGCAGCAGACCTCTCCTGGCCCGCCTGCTGCTCCCCTCAGCAGTGTACTTCGTCGATCTGCCTGTTCTACTCCCCACGCTGTCTCTGGTGAATCCTCTCACCCGCCCCCACCTCTGTCCTGTACCTCAGCTCTGTATGCATACATAAATAAATCTTTAAAAAAGAAAAAAATCCCTAAGAGAGGGAGAGAAATTCAGCTGTTGGGAGCACACATGAGGTCACGCTTCTGTGACCCTGCTGCTATCTCCCATGTGGGGGCCGAAGAACACGAACCGCAGGGAGGCTTGTGGAATGAACCACAAGTCTCTCTTTACTCTCTGATCACGCCTTGGCTCTGGCCTCCCTCTCCCCTCAGCTGCTTCACAACTCCTGGGCGAGTCTGGGTGGAAGCCTTGCCCAACACAGAGAAGGCAGAAGGCCCATGCGGGAGGCCAGCGAGGATTCCAGGCCTGGGGGTCCCTCCCGCACCCCCGCCCAGTGTCCGCAGTCCCAGACGCAGGCACCCCTCGGCTGAGCTCCCAGGGCTCCCTCCCTCGAGCACCAAGAGCCAGGCCCCTCACCACTGCCTCGGTTGCTCTCGTGGAGCGTGGTGTAGGTGCCTGTAAAGTAGTAGACGAGCTGGTTCTGCCGGATGAAGAGGGTGCTCTCGGTGGCCACTGCGTCATAGATGGTGGCCGTGAAGCTGGTCTGGGGGCAGTAGAAGGAGCCTACCCAGCAGCTGTCAATGTTCAGCTGCAGGGGAGCAGAGGGGGAGTGGGCTGGTGCGCACAGCCTCAGCCCCCACATCGGCCCGGGCGCCGCCTGCTGGGACAGTGTCTCCATGGCCGCCTCCAGGCACCTCCTCCCTGCCCCCCAGGAAGCAGCGCCGTGGTGCCAAATGTACCCAACATGGGCTAGCAGGCAGGACAGACCAGCTGGGCTGTGCTCCGGACGGGTGGGCAGTGCAGAGCACACTCGACGGGGCCAGCGGTCTGGTGCCCAGACCAGTCAATGGACCCGTATGGGTACAAAGAACCGCTGCTTGGCCCAAGGCATGTATATGTAACTGTCCTCTCTCCACGTTTTACAAGGAGTTTTATTAGGAGAGGGACACAGAACAGGAGACACCTGCAGTTACACACACACAGCTGCCTCCCAGGCACACTGTTAACCATCTCATTCTACCCGGACACAGCCAGCCACTCTCCAGACCACTGACCCGGCACTAGCCTCAGCCACCTCACGAGCAGCGTGACAGGGGGCTTGCCTGAAAGGCAGTCTAAATGAAGCCAAGCTGGTTTTATAGGCAATGTGCGGGGTTATGAACCAAGCCGGATCCCTAACCCCACACCTGTCTCCCAAGTTAGATGTTGAAGACCTAATCCCCAAGGTAAAATGCATCTGGTCGTAGGCCTTTTAGAGAGGTATGAAGGTGGGCCCTCCCTGGCGGCGCAAGGGGTTAAAATGCAGCACCACAAAGCTGGCAGCAGCTGCTTCAGCATAAGTTCAATCCCTGGCGTCGGAGGCGACCCACATGGCGCGGCAGACCTCTCCTGTGTCCCGCTGCTCCCCTCAGCAGTGTACTTTGTTGATCTGCCTGTTCTGCTCCCCGCTCTGTCTCTGGTGAAGCCTCTCACCGCCTCTGCACCTCTGGTCTGTACCCTAGTTCTATATGCATAAATGAATATTTTTTAAAAATTAAAAAAATAAAGAGGTATGAAAGTCCAGTAAGGTGATAAGGGTGGGGCCATATTCTTTATCACACGGGTGTCCTTCTAAGAAGAGATGCCCTATTTTCCCATCCCATGGAGGAAAAGCCATGTGAGGACACATTTGATCCCTGGATCAAGCCAAACCTGATGCCTGCTCTATACCTGGACTTTGCATTAGGCGCCCTTACTAATCCACTTCCTGGGTAAGCCAGCCTGGGTGGGACTTCTGCCTCAGCGGCGCCAACTTAAACATGTTTTTGTCATTTCCACCAAAAGCAACTTGCTTCAGATGTTCAGACTCTACTCTTGAGAGTAACAGAAGTTCTCAAGGCTAAATCTGAAAGCCTGAAGACCAATGTATATCACAAGTCAGGATTTTCCTGAGTTTAGGAGGTAAGATGGCCCTCATACCATTCCCATGGAAACTGTCAGTGGGGTCCGGGGCAGCACCCCATAAGCAAGCTCCTCTGTATTTCTGCAGGGCAGCATCTGAATACTAATGCCACATGACATGAAGAAAGACTGTAAGTAGCTTTTGTTACCTTAGAATGGGGTTACCAATGAGTTTTAGCCTCACCCTGGAGAAATACAATTTTTCAAAACTTTCTGGATTTCAGATTTAAAAAATGGTAGAATTAGTAATCATAGCTACAACCACAACATATTCATGCTGTCTCCAACTCCTCCGAATTTATACCACCCCAACGATGCTTCCATGAGGTGAATAGAAATATTATGCCCAATTAGCAGATGAGGCGCCTGCCGCCCAGCTAGCTCAAGTGACTGGCCCAAGATCACACAGCCAAGAGGTGGTAGAACCCAGGCTGGGTGTGGAAGCCGGCTGCCCAGGTGCAGCTTGTCTTTCCTTCAAGTTATCACCCTCTTTTTTTTTTTTAAGATTTATTCATATAGAATTGGGGTACAAGCCCCAATTCTATATGAATGGGGGGCAGTGAGAGGCTTCACCAGAGACAGAGTGGGAAGCAGAACAGGCAGATCGACGAAGTACACCGCTGAGGGAAGCAGCAGGCGGGTCAGGAGAGGTCTGCCACGCCATGTGGGTCAGCTCCGGGGTGGGGATCGAACTCACACTGAAGCCACGACTCTAGCTTGCAGTGTTGCGTCCTAACCTGTTGCACCACCAGGGAGGGCCCTTATCGCCCTCTTATGGGGAATAACACATTTTTTTGGAGACGCGTTCCTGACTCCCCTTCCAGGTCGCACCCCATTTTAGGAGCTAAAAAGTCGCCCACGGGCTGCCCTGCGCCACGCCACGCACCTCCACAAGAAAGAAGTCATTGAAGTTGGTATCAGTGAGAAGAACAGACTTCTCCTCAGGAATGCCGCCCAGGATGAGCACGGGCGCTTGGTCCACCGTGTACCACAGGGGCCTCGAGGAGGCATTCACGAAGTACCGGGGCTCAAGATTAAAGATCTGTGGGGTGAGGGAGCTGATCAACCCCACCCCCACGTGGCTCCATTTCCTTTAGGATAAAGACAAAGCCTTGACCCCACCACCCCCACACCCCACGCAATTTCCCAACAAGCTTCTAGCCTCACCCCACACTCTGCTGTCTGTCTCATGGGCCTCCTCACCCCTGCTCAGACTCACCAGGCCTACACCCCAGTACACCCCAGTTCTTACATGCATAACTAAATAAAGAAATCTTTTTTAAAAATTAAAAAACGAGAACCTTCCCTCCCAGGGTGGCTGAGCAGAGGCAGGCGGCTGCACATGGCAGGGCCCGCTGCCTGCTGGGTAGGAGCCAGGGCCCCAGCCCATTACCTGCTACCTCCAAGCAGGCCGGCGCCTCACCTCATTCCCCACAGTGAAGCGAAGCGTGCTGTCTGGGTTGCTCTGCAGGAAGCCGTTGATGTTCATCTGAAACCTGGCAGCAGGTGTGGGGCAGGTCCAGGTGAGGGCTGGGGTGCCAGGCCTCTGCCACAGCCCACAGCCACCCCCTCTCCCGCGGCGCTCCTCCCTCTGATGTCTTCCTGGTTTCTTGGGGAACCTGGGGACTCCAGAGTCCCTCCTCAAGTTTTCCCCCCGCCCTGGGCTCGGGAGGAGATACCTTTTATCAGGAATGAAGGGCCCTAGGCCATTGCTGCTGACATCCACGTACATGATCACACTGCCGTTCTTGATGGGCATGGGCGTGTACCAGCTCATGCCACATATATCCTTGTAGTTGCATGGCTCTGCTCGGGGGCAGTGGGCACTGAGGGCACTGAGGTTGCTGGGGCCTCCTAGCAGCCCCCTCCATGCCACTCCCTAATTTATGTTTTATTTTTTATTATTATAGAAAGGGGAGGGGGTGGAAAGACAGTCACACATACATAGTGGGCAGAAAGAGGTGCCCCGTAAGGGACAGGTTGTTAAGAGAACAGGTAGAGCATGTAGAGCATGGTCTACAGGTGGAGACACCAGCACAGGCACAGGAGGGCAGGAGAGCTGCTGCCCAGTGATATCTTTATTATGCCAGGAGATTTGCAATGCCCCAGGCCCCTTCTCGGTCATGCACCCTATTGGCTTCTTCTAGGTATGTGTCAGGCCACACACTCCACTGAAGCCCCCCAACACCCCCCACAGCCCCACCAACCTCCCTTCCTGGTCATGGGCCCTAATGAAGTCCCCAGAAATTCCATCCCACTCTCAGGCTGTGACCCCTCCAGGCGCCCCGGGGCCCACCTTCACTGCGGAAGGGCGCTGCCTCCATCTGGATCTGCAGCTGCTCCATCTTCCAGAGATGGAAGTTGACAGGTGACTGGAAGGTGACCAGCACAAAGGGCTTCAGCCCTGTCAGGTGGCCCTTGCGGACCAGGGCCTCAGATACCTGAGGGCAAGATGGCCCCAGAGGTATGTCCTCAACATAGTCTCTGGGGCCCCCTGCCATGATCCCACCTTTACCAGCTTATCTTCCAGGGCTGGATGGGGAGAATAGACACTCTGCTGCTCAGAAAATGTAGTCTATAGGCTTTGGAAGCCAGATTACAGGTTTGGAGCTAGATCAGCAGAGGGGCAGCCTGGGACAGCCTCACAGAGATGCCAGTTTGCAGAGCAGGGCCAGAGGAAATGGAAAGGCAGGCTGAAGATGAAAGGAAGCAAAGGGAAGGCAGTCCCAGGGTCTGCAACAGTATAAACAAAGGCTTGGAGACACCCCCAAAACAAGACTGTCCTTGTGCCATTGGGGGGCGAGGTCAGAGTCAATTTAACAGCTCCAGCCATCTTCTTCATGCTGAGAAGTGCCTGATACGTGCTACAACATGGCTAAAACTTGAAAACACACTATGTGAAAGAAATCGGACACACTGCTTACATATTATATGACTCCATTTAAATATGAAATTCCAGAGTAAGCAAATTCGGATGAACAGTAAGTAGATTATTGGTCTCCTACAGCTAAAGGGATGGGGGGGGTACAATCAGAGTTTCTTCTTGAGGTGATGAAAATGTTCTAGAATTAGATAGTGATGATTGCACAACTGTGAATATACTAAAAAAATAACGGAATTATATACATTTGAAACAGTAATAGTATAATAAATTATATCTCAACTTTTTTAAACAGTCCCAAACCCTCAAAACAAAATCTTACTTGAGCACCTATCATGTGCCTGGAATCTTGACTCCTTCAGGTCTCCAAGGTCTGGTGGTACCACCACTATTACTATTTCAGTGATGGTAAAATGAGATTCATGCATACTGATCCCCACTCTCGCTGCTCCCACTCACCTCTCCCTCGCAGTAGTAATTAATCTTCAGGTAGTAAGGGAAGCCCAGGTATTTCTGCAAGCAGAAGTTGGGCAAATGTCCAGCGCTCAGTGCGGTGTGGATCAAAGCCCTCCCTTTCCCCTCACCCCTAGCCCTCTCACCTCGTCAGGATGGAGAGGTGCATTCACCAAGAATCTGAACATTAGGTTCACTCTTTTCAGGGGTTCTTGATCGAAGAAGCGATCGCTCCCAGAGAACTTGCCTACCGTCTCAAATTTGTTTAGGACAACCTGCCAGGTGCACATCGGGATATCCGCTATCCCCGCCCATATTCTCCACGGGGCTAATAGCACCGCCAGCAGTGCCCACTGTGCCCGCAGGACTCCGAGTCTCGGCCACACAAGGCCAGGGGGCATCATCGCGAAGCAGCACACAACGTGGCTCGAACCTGGATAATGCAGGGATCAACACCCACCGGCAAGACTGCGCTCTGAAGCCGTCTTGGGAGATCCCACGCTGGTCTACCGCCTCGCCCTACCCCTGCTCCGGGCCCCGCGCCTACACCTGCTCCTGGCTCCGCCCCTGCTCTTACTCCTGGCCCCACCCCTGCTCTTGCTTCTAGCCCCGCCCCTACACCTGCTCCTGGCCCCACCCCTACTCTTCCTCCTGGCTCCGCCCCTGTTCTTGCTCCTGGCCCCGCCTCTGCTCTTGCTTCTGTCTCCGCACCTACTCTTGTTCCGGGCTCCGCCCCTGCCACTGCTCTTGGCTCCACCCCTGACTTTGCTCTGGGCACCACCTCTATTCCAGACCTTGCCTTGGCTCTGGGTCCTGCGTCTGCTCCTATTCCGGCTCTCACCTCTGCAAACACTCCCGGACCCGCCCCTACTGATGCTACTGCCCACCCCCAGGCTTCTGGTTTCTCCCAGCTTCCTCGTTTTGCCTCTTAACCTTGCCCCGCCCCCGCTCTTTGCTCCGCCCCTGCTCTTTATCCCGCCCTTATTCTTCCCTGGGTCTCTATTTCTGTTTCCCGCCTTGGCTGCGCTCCACCTACTTTCCCCAGTTCGGGTCCTCCTGTGCTTGGCCCCGCCTCCATTTTTTGCCTCGCCCCCACAGTTCTCATCGTACCTCCCCTTTCTCTTGGCTCGGACCGGGCTCTGGAACCCGGTCTTGTACCTAACCTCGCGCCTGTCGGAGTCCTGGTCCCGGGCTTTCTCCACGCCCCGCCCCTTCCCCCGGCCCCGCCCCTGTTTATCGCTTTGGGCGGGATCCTCGCTCTGCTTCCGCCTCTTGCCCCGCCCCTTTTCCTCAACCTGCCCCTTATCGACCCGCCCCTTGCCCTCCTCCTTGGAGACCGGTTCTAGACGAGCCGGCTCCTCGCCCCGCCCCTCCTGGTGACCCCGCCCCTCCTCACACCGCCCCTTCTTGGTAGAGACCTTCTCTTTGCCTTGGGACCGCTCGCCAGCGGCCTTTTCCTCGCCTTTCGGGAGCTCCTCGCCCACAGTCCTCTCCTTGCCCTGAACCTTCTCCTCGCCCCACGCCCGCGCTACCTTCTGGATCCTCACCTTCCTCTTATGCCGCGGCACCTTTTCGCCCCACTCCCTCTGCTCGCCACCTTCTTCCATGCCCTGGACACCTACCCGCTCTAAGCCCGGCTTCTCCTCGCTCCGCCCCTACTCATCACCCGCTCCCTCTTAGCCCCACCCTACCCCTCGTCCCGCCCTTTCTCCGCCCTCTCCTCTCCCTTTTTCTCCTCTGCCGGATCCCACTTTTCTCCCTTTCCCCTCTCTCTCCACTCTTCACCTTTCCCTTTCCCTTACCTGCCCTTCTGAGCCCCTCCCCCGCCCCCCGCATCCCTTCCTGGGGTCGCCCCAGGCGCCTCCCTCTTCTCCCCGCCCCGTGGCACCAGTCACCTAGTTAAAACCGGTCAACCGTCAACTGGCCGCTCCAGTCCCGCCCCTCTTGCCCGATTTCAAAATGGCCGCCCGCGCTTCCCCAACCGACTTCCGCCTGCCGGTCCCACGCGTGGCCGGCCCAACAGGCGCGTGAGGCTTGGGAGTGGTGTCGGAGTCGCTCCAAAGCCAGGCGGGCGAGGTGTGGCCGGCAGAGGGTGCCAGAGACAGGATTTGACTCGGAATTTGAGCTAGGTTCGTTCGCACTTCTACCCAATTAGATTTTCATATCAAAAGTTTTCCCAAAGAGCCCTCCCTGGTGGCACGGGTTAGGACGCAGCACTGCAAGCTGGCAGCAGCCGCCTCAGTTCAAGTTCGATCCCCGTCCCCAGAGGTGACCCACATGGTGCAGCAGACCTCTCCTGTCTCCCCACTGCTCCCCTCAGCAGTGTACTTCGTTGATCTGCCTGTTCTGCTCCCCACTCTGTCTCTGGTGAAGGCTCTGATCGTCTTTACACCTCTGGCTTGTACCCCAGTTCTGTATGCATAGGTCTTTAAAAAAAAAGTTTTCCTAAAAAAGAGGCCGAGTTTGGTCTCTGTGAGGAAATAGTGTATTTACCCTCCTCTACGAAAAGGGAGCCGGGCAGCCCTCTCTTACATATATGAGCCGCCAATCAGATGGCACACAAGAAAGCCCCAGCCTCCGACCTTCACTCACACAGTTTTCATTTGTATTCTGATGCCCTGTCAGTTAGGGCCCGCTGCATTACTGATGAACTGCAAAGCTGACTTCACTCTCTACTAGTGGTTTCCAAACTCCAAAGAAAAGTTGATCAAGATGGTTAGATGCCACCCCCAGTTTTTTGATCCCCAGGTCAAAGGAATTTGTATTTGTAGCAATTTTCTAGCCCCGCAGTGGTCTGGGGCAGGGTGTCACACCTTGAGAACTAGTGCTTTAAACCTTCCCTAACTTCCAGAGGTCCCAGGGAAACGTCTGCTTCCACTGGTTCTCAGAGTTCTGCTAGTCCAGCCCCGGGCCTTCCTGCCTGGCCATCCTACCCTCTACCCCACAGCCTACACCCAGACCTGGAGCACTCTCCTGCAGGCCCTGCGAACTCCCTCTGGGCAACAATACTTACTTGGGCTGGGGATTGAGCACATTCCTTCCTTTGGGCTTGTCCCTGAAGAATGACCAGTCCCATCGCTTCCCTGACTACTGAGGCGCTCTCGGCTGATGGTCTGCAAGCCGGTCTTTGTTTCCCAGTGAATCACAGGCTCTGGTTCAACAGGGCCTGGCGCTCGGGCCCTCTGACTGTCCCTTCAGACTGCAGACAGGGTCTTCCGACTGGTGCGAGTGACAACACTCTCCTGGGGGGCATTCCACCCTGAGGGGACCTGGGCACAGTGTCCTGGTCTGAATTCCACCCCAAGTCCTAACAAGGGGGCTGTTGGAAAGACGGTGGCTCCAGGCAGCCATCTCGATGGGGGGAGCAGAACCCTTGATGGGGGTGTTGCTTTATTTATTTTTTTGGCCCCTGCTCTGGAAGGCAGCAGCTTCCTCAACTCTAACCTGGTTGGCTGGCCAGTGGCGGGCTTACTAAGCGCTGCTAGGCCCAGAGCACCCTGCCAGCACCCATAACAGCCGCCCCACTTTGCACCATTGTGGTAACTGCAGCTTCTCCTTGTTGCTTTACCCACTGGTTAATTTTTTTTAACACTAACTTCCTTTTTTAAAGATTTAGTTATGCAGAGAAGATCTGGGGTGTGGGTCAGAGGTGCGGGGAGTGAGAGGATTCACCAGAGACAAGAGTGAGGAGCAGAACAGGCGGATAGACTGAGAGCCGCTGCTGAGGGGAGCAGCAGGCCTCTGCTGTGCCAGGTGGGTCAGCTCCCTAGGTGGGGGTAGAACGCGGGCGGCAGCGGCTAGTGACCTTGTTAGCTTGACAGCACTGAGACTTTAACCCCAGGGCCGCAGGGAGGCCCTAAATGTTCTTTTTTTCATTTGTGGTGGCAGGTGGTGGGGCCCAGAAACAGAGAAAGAAGTTTGACTCCATGACAATTTACTCTCTTCCTGATCACTATCAGTTTCTCATCTGCACACTGTCCCATAATCACTGTCCCATCAGCTCAAACAGCCAACGGCAATCAGTTCCCTTGATTGCCCCCCACCCCCTTCCACTGGAGGTGGGGGCTGGTGAGAGGCGTGCTTCATGTGAGAAAGGAAGCGCCTCCTAGCCTCACTAGACAGTCAGACCGGGGGTCTCTCCGTGGGGCTCCCTGGTGGGGAGCAGCGCCATTATTAGGGAAAGGATGTCCTGAACAAATGTCTGGTGACACGGGTTTTGTGGACTCCATCCCCACTCCAGATCAGAGATTGAAGAAACGCAGGGAAAGCTGTTGGGACCTGAGGGTGGAGTGACAGCCGGTTTGGTATAAAACCAGACATGTGGGCCTTGTCTCTTGGCTTTTTGGCTTTTTTTTTTTCTCTTGGCTTTTTTTTTTTTTTCAGGGTGCTGTTGGGGTTCCAGGTCAGCAGAACTGGTAGGACGCATTCACCAACTTATCTCCTTCTTTCTCCCTGAATTATTCATTTTTCATTTTCCCTTTGTTTGTGTAGCGTGAAAGAAAAACTGCACACATGCGTCCAGCTGGTAACATGCCCGGAAAGAGACCTGAAAAACCAGTCCACACAGCCCAAATGTGGAAGAAAGATTGAATTTCCACCGCCCACTTTTGCACCTTTTGCAATTTATCTAGTGTGCTCTTCCTGCTCTTTTACAAATGCTTTGAACTGAGCAGGGTCTGGTCTTTTTTCCCAAGGAATATGAAAAAAGGGACGAAGGCCAGATACACAGATGTCTCTCAAGATGAGGGGCAGCCGCCTCTCCATCCAGCCGCTGGCTTTAGCAGCGAGGTTGGCGGTGACCTCGGTGAGAGGCAGTGACCTGGATGGCTGAGAAAGTTCTAGCCCACAGCGGCTTCTGAGTCCCTGGGGGAGAAGGGGATCAATCCATACCTTCAGATCCCAACTTTTCATCTCCTGTGTGACCTTGGTCAAATTGAACCTCTCTGGGCCTCCTTTCTTCTACTGCAAAATATGGAGAAGGTACCTAACAGACTCACTGAATATTAAGTAAGCTCTGTATGAAGGGCTTAGAACAGTGCTGTGCCTGGACAGTCCCGTGTAAGTCTTTCCTATCACTCCTATTAAAACTGCCTTGAGGGCCCTCCCTGGTGGCACAATGGGTTGAAACTTCAGCACTATGAAGCTATCTGCAGTTACTACAGCGTAAGTTCGATCCTCAGCAGGGAGTGACCCACACAGCACAGAAGACCTCTCCTGTCTCCCCTCAGCAGTGTATTTCAGTAGGTCTGCCTGTCCTGCTCCCTACTCTGTGTCTGAATCCTCTCACCCCCCACATCACTGGCCTGTAACTCTAATGAAAAAATAAAATAAAATAAAATAGCCTCGAGTGACTTCTCAGCATGCTGTGACAATGCTGACTTCTCCTTCATTATTATTCTCTCCTCCCTAGCCAAACCCCACCTTCTTGGTTCTCCTCCTGTCCAGAACATCTTTTCTGTCTGATTTCTTAGTTCTTCTTTCTGGTATGAGAACATAGTTGAGGGGCACTGCTTGGCATGTGAGGTCTTTACATTGGTTAGAAAAAGAAGCCCCTAGGGGAATATTAAACCTTGAACTTTGGTCCCTATTCGTTTCCACCCAGCTAGCCACGTTACAGCCCCCACCCCAAAAGATGGGTCCTTCACCCTCTAGAGAAAGAATCCACCAGAGAGCACTAGGTGTAGCTGAGCTAGGCAAGACTTTGTGGGAGGTTCAGGCCCTGGAGAACTCGCGCTGGGAAGGGGGACCTAGCCCAGCCCCTGGGAGAGAGTTAGGACAAGATAGGAAAAGGGTGAGACCGCAAGGCGGGGCAGAGAATGACGGCACCATGGCACGCTCTGGGTTCTGCTGTGCCCAGGAGGGGCAGACAGGTCCCAGCCAACTGGAGCCTTCTCCCCTAGAAAGTCGGGAGACAATTAGGCTCTTTGTCTCGCGTGACACCCCATGACGGCCGACCAAACTATTTGGACAGGATATTGGGACAGTCCATGATTTCACCAGTCTGTGATTTCATCCTCCTGTTCAAGCAGGATTTAGGACGTTTGCTTTACCAGCTTGCCCATTCTTTTACCCAGATAGTCTCAGCCAGGCCTTTACGTAGGTCCCAACCTAGGTAATCGTTCTCAGTGACTTTGGCTGATCAATCAGTCGGTGGCCAGCCACTCGCCCAGCTTCTGCCCCTCCGAGAAGCCCAGTTCTGCTCAGGCATTGACCAGGCAGACACCATACCAAAACCTGTGTCGCCTCAGCCCTGGGGGGTGGGGAGCACCCTGAAGAATCCAACCAACCAGAGCAAATCCCTCGCTCTGGCCAGTGTCAGGATGGACACATGACCACCCTCGTTGATCAATGAGATGAGAGAGGAAGTCTGCCGGGGAGCTGTGGGAAAGGGCTTTCTTGCTTTGGAAACAGTAACAGAGAAAGAGATGTCTCCCTCTTCCAGCACAAAAATTAGTGCCTGGTTATGACACATGGGCCACGTGGCAGCCACTTCAGGGCCACGACAGGTGTCCGCATGGGAACCAAACCATCAGCAGAAGGTGACAGAGCAGAGCTGAGACACCCAGGGCCCACATGGTCCTCTCGGAGCTGGGGCATTTATCCTCCTGGGTCTTCCCCCCCAAACCTGGTGCTGGGATACACACAATCACCACATCATTTCTGTCAGTGCCACTCAGGAGTTTGTCACTTGAGACCAAAACCTTTCCCTTACTGACAGCAACCCTAGTGCTGGTTTCTCAAGACCGGTCTCCACTCCCACCCAGGGCTGCCCCCCTCACTCTTGGGCCCTGACCTGTCTCCTGCCATGCCCACCCTGATCCTGTCCTGGTGTCCTGAGGCTTCCCTAACCCTTCCCCTTTAGCCCCTCACACCACCTGACCTCAGGGCCTCCCTTCATACCCAGGGCTGCAGGGGCCACCCCTTGGGCCTTTTCTAGGCTGCTCCTCCCACGCCCACCCCTCCAGCTTCGTTCCCACTCCTGCCTTTCCCTTTCACTGGCCTCCATGTCCCCCTCTGGCCTAATCGATAGCCTCTACACAGCAGCCCAAATCCAAGAATGGCCCTCTGCTGCTCAACAGCCTACTCTGGCTCTCTAGTGCCCTCAAGAGAAACACCAAATTTGGTCATTTAAGGCCGCACAAGATGGGCCGGTGCCCACAGTTCCGCCTCCTTCCCCAACTCACTCTATCCTTGTCAGTCAAATGCCTGTCCCACGCTGGTTCTGACATGCTTTCCTGCCTCTGGGCCTTTGCACACCCACTTCCTCCTGCTCACCATCACTCCTGTCTTTGCTACCTGTCCATCAAGGCCTCGCTTACATGTCCCATCGCTCCAGTGGCTCAGTGGATGGGCTCTAGGCAGTAAAAAGAATATTATTGAGCGATCCTGGGTGAGGGAAATCTTGGCAGGATGAACAGAAAGTCAATCATCCCTTGCTCTGTGGAAAAGTGAGGGATCTCCCCCCACATGTGCCTCAGTTTCCTCACCTGTTAAAAGGGGAAGCTGAAATTATCATTTGTAAGGAGCTAGAACAGGGCCTGGCCATAGAATAACCTGGCAGGCTTGTGAAATCATTTTTCATATAGTCCAAAAGTTTATTTTTGTTTTATTCAGTTCACATGTTTCCTCTGTATGCCACACAGGAATGAAGTCATCTGGTGTTTGTCTTTCCGTCCAGCTTATTTCACTAAGCCCAATGCTGCTAGGTTCATCTGAGTTGTAGCCAATGACAGGATTTCATCTTTTTTACAGCTTAATAGTATTCCAGTGTGTCTGTACACCACCTCTTCTTTAGCCATTCACTGATGAACTCTTAAGTTGTTGCCAGATCTTAGCTTTTGTAAACAGTGCTTCAATAAACATGGGGTTTATTTATGTCTTTCCAAATTAGTGTCTTTGTAACATTCAGATAAATACCCAGAAAAATCATCTTTTGAAGTAGGTAGGGTTATTACCGTCATCTTACAGATGTGAAACTGAGGATCTCAGAGATGAGGTGACTTCTGAGGACACAGGCAGGGCGTGGCTGGAGCCCAGGGAGGCTGGCCTCAGGGCCCAGTGTGCCTTAGGCCAGTGTAAACAGGCATACTGTGAGAGTGGTGCTGGCTGAGAGCAGCACCTCCTCAGGGGAGCTCTTACAGCCCAGGACTATGAGGAGCTCTCTGTACAGATCTCACTCTCCAGAAACATCTAAGAAGAACCATCCACCTTCATCTCGGAAGGCTTCTTATTTTGGGGCTGAGTGCCTTTGTCCCTTCTTCCAGGAAGCCCTCCCTGACTTTCCAGGCAGCACTTCTCCAGCACACGCCTCATCACTCTGCCTCCTCTGTTGACACGGCGCTGGTCTGGGCTGTCACACTGGGGACAGGTCTATACCTCACTGGACTTTGAGGCCCGAGAGCAGAGCCCTGGCCCTCTTGACTGCGACTTTGCTCCACTGTACAGCTGAGCACGGGGCTAGCACAAGGATGAACAGATTTTTTCCACGGGACAGACGAGGCTATCAGGGCTCCGACTTGCCAAGGTGTGGTGGCGGATCTAACGCACAAAAGGAGGTTTGAGCAGAGAGCAGGGCAGGTGTCACGTGCCGAGTGAGAGGGGCGGATGCAGGAGTGAAAGGATAAGCGAGATGGTGAGGAAGCCAGAGGGCCAGAGCGGGAGGTGAGAGGGCAGGAGCCCAGCGGAGCCTGGACGTGTAAAACAACAGTTGGCCAGGCGGGGGCACCAGAGCTTCCCGACCCCCAGCTGCGCTTCGGGGTGCTCCAAGGGCCAGCTCCAGTCCCGGAGTCCCTCCACCGCAGGCCAGGTGCACCCAGACTCGAGGCACCTGCCCCTGCTACCTGGCGATGGAGGCATAGTTGGTGTGGGAGCCGGCTGTGAACTGCTGGTGCGGCTGTAGCTGGGGGCCCACAATGTCCACCCGGTCGTCCTCATGCTCGCCGGGGCTGTCAGGGCGCGGATGGGGCAGCAGGATGAGCTCTGTGAGGCCGTGAAGGTCGGACATGTGGCGGAAAGTCTGCAGCACCAGCACCATGGCGACCAGGCCCAGGAAGAGGTAGACTGCAGAGCGGGGTAAGAGCAGTGTGAGCTCAGGCCCTGGGTCTGCCGGGGCCCAGCAAGGGGCCTCAGGTCCCTCTCGGGCCCGAGGGCCAGGCTGTGGGTCTGCTCTCCACTGCCCAGCCAGCCACTGCACTCACCTGTGACCAGCAGCTTGTAGAGGGCCCGGTAGGGCTGGCCAGGGGCCTCCCCAGGCACGTAATCCCCCAGGCCGATGGTGGACAGGGAGATGAAGCAGAAGTAGAAGGCATCCAGGAAGGTCCAGGCCTCCTCAAGGTAGGCAAAGATGGCAGCTGGCACCACGAAGCAGACGGTCCCTACGACCCCCAACATGACTATCAGGTGCCAGAGGGCTGCCCGCCGGGGGTCCCAGCCCCAGCGCACACTCAGCCAGGACAGGGGCGCGTGGGTCAGCAGCAGCGACAGGCGCTGGGCCGAGGCGGTCAGCAGCAACATGGTGACCGGCACGCCCAGGATGGCGAAGGCGATGGAGAAGGCCTTGCCGGAGTCCGTCAGCGGCGTCGTGTACCCGTAGCCTGCGGGAGTAAAGGGGATATCCTGCACCCCTGCGCCGGGGTCTGTGGTCATCCTGAACTTAGCGGTCATTTCTCCCTCAAACCCGGCCACCCACTGTCTCTTCTGAAGCAGCTCCAGCCCCGCCCCCTCAGCCACGGGCCTTGGCAACATCTTGACCCCCTCCTCACCCCATGACCATCTGCCGGTGAACCCTGTTGTCTCTGCGTTCACCCCAACCCCACCACTATGGGCTCAATGACACAAACTATGCAACCTCTGTCGACAGACACGGTACGGATGGAGGGGAAATGCTCTGAAAAATCAGACTTTCCGCGCTAACTTATGTTCTGACCTCCCTTTTTTGCATAATCGTAATATCAAAATATTCTGAGCAACCTTCAGCTTACAATTGGATTGCCTCAGCCTCAGGAGGCGCTACCTGGCCCTGACAAGCAAGCACTGTACCAGGGTGAGAAATTCCTCTGGAAGTCAAAAGTCATTAAACAACTGGCTGATTAATAACAACAAAATGGCTGTTACTGCAAAGTCTCTCACGGCCAGACTGAGGAAAACCCAAATCTTATCACTCTATCTCACACAGCCTTCTATTCAGTTTCTAAATAACCACTCAAGCTTTCTACTATCTAGTCTTTAGATATGGAAATTCACCCAAGTCGCCTATTCAGAGCTAATCAAGCTTTCTACCGTCTAGACTTCAAGGAAACTCACAAACTTTATAACAAGTTTTTCAAAGAACTTTACTGTAATTTGATTTACAAGAAATTTCCTCTTCCTGCCCTCACTCTACTTTACCCCCTAGGATGTCTCTATGACAATGAAAGCCATTAATAGATAATGTTTCAGGGACTTTATTTTGGTTAATCTTCACTGTGGTAAATATAGTAATATTAGTCTTAAACTCTGTAAATCTATGCACCTGTTTTAACCTTGATAGATTGATTTTAAAATGTTATAATCTCAACTAAAGGTCAAAATGACCCCAGACTATTCTTAGAAAAAAGGTGATTGTGATCTCAGCCCATTTCATATGCTGATATCATCCTGCCTGAAGTGTATAAAATAAACCTCTGCTGAAGGCAGAGCAGGAAGACTTACACCCAACTCCCATTCCTGTGTCTTCCTCACACCCGCTCCCCTTTTTTCCCCTTTTCCCCCTTTTCTAGGGATCTCCACTTGCCTACACTGCTCCCACCTTGAGACCCTGCCTGTTCTGCCCCCCTATAATCTGTGATCGGGGACAAAGAGTCTCCGACAGCTCATCCCCATCCTGTCTACCCGGGCCGCCTCCTCCCTGGTCTCCCTTCTGCTCCCACCCAGTCTGCTCATTAGATCCAGCCCATGGAACACCTGAGGCAAGCCAGTCCCTTCTGTGCTCAACCCTCCCGTGATGCCATCACCCTCAGAGAAAAAGACAAAGTTTTCACATTGACCTACACATGGTAGCAAGTTCCCACCCCTAGGGCCTTTGCACTGGCTGTTCATTCCCCACAGGAGCCTCTCTCCACAGGTTCCATACAGCTCCCACCACCCCCGGCAGGCCTTCACTCAAATGTCACCTTCTCAGTGAGGCCTGCACCTTATTTCAAATTGTTATAACCTCTCAGGCAACTGTTCTTGTTTTTACTGTATTTACCACTTTCTAGCCCACACCCTGGTTGACTCATTTGTTTGCTGTGTGTCTCACCACCAGAATACCAGTTCTTCCCAGGCAGGGGCTTCTATTTTCTTCATGGCAACGGCCTGGTATCTGGTGCAGAGTGGGCACACTTATGAATGAATGAGGGGTACAGGCTCTAGCTGGGCATGAAGCCTCAGTTTTCTCTATTCTAAAATGGGAGTCCAAAGTCCTCCCTGGTGGCACAAGGCTATGAAGCTATCAGAGCCACTACAGCATGAGTTCGATCCCTGCCCAGGGAGGTGACCTGTCTTCCCTCCCCTCAACAGTGTATTTCAGTTGATCCGCCTGTTCTGCTCCCCACTGTCTCTGGTGAATCCTCTCATTCCCCACACCTCTGGCTTATACCCCAGTTCTCAAATGCATAAATAAATAAAATAAAAATAAAATGGAGAGTGCCAAACCCCATGGGGCTCCCAGAAGACCGAGGGAACACAGTAGTGTCAGTGTGTGTGTGAGTTGTGCAAGCAGAAACACGACTGGGGTTGTAAAGGGCCTGGCTTCTGTTGACAGCACAAATGCCTTGGCCAGACATTGCCGATCTGGCCCTGGAGTCAGTCATAGGTGGCATCACACACATGACTGGCACCCACTGTGTCTGCCTTCCATACAAAGGGATCGCCTGATGTGAAGGCAGAGGCTCGAAGAGATACTTGTATACCCATATCCACAGCAGCTTTACTCACAATAGCCAACAAGCAACCTAAGCGGCCCCTGATGGATAAGTAGAATGTGGTGCTTAGATTGGTGTGTGTTTGCAAAGTAATCGACGTTGTGACAGAATACTATGCAGCCTTGAAAAGGACATTACGGCATGCAGTAACATGGATGAACCTCAAAGATATTATGCTAAGTAAAATACACTAATCACAAAAATTAAACACACATAATTTCACTTACCTCATAGTAGTTAATATCATGAAGATAGAAAGTGGAATAGTGGTTGTCAGGGGCTGAGGAGAGGAGGAGGGGAAGTTGTTTAGTGAGAACAGTTTCAGATGGGAAAAATGAAGTAAGTCCTGGAAATTGGTGGTGGCGAGGACTGCACAAAAGCAGGAATGTGCTTCATGCCAAGAAGGGTGTACTGAAGGAAGGTCAAGAGAGTTCAACCTATGCTAAACTTAATTTACCACAGTAATAGAAAATTGGGGGGAGGGGAGTGGAGTCCTTTAGTTTTTGGGTTTTTCTTTTAAGATTTACTTATTCATGCATTCAAGACCTGTAGGCCAGAGGTGAGGGGGGTGAGAGGATTCATCAGAGACAGAGTAGGGAACAGAAGAGGCAGATCCACTGAAATCCACTGCTGAGGGGAGCAGCAGTGAGACAGGAGAGGTCTGCTGTGCCCTGTGGGTCAGCTCCCTGGCCAGGGATCCAACTCCTGCTACAGTGACTGGTGATAGCTTCACGTGCTGAGACTTAACCCCTGTGCCATCAGGGAGGCCCCTCCTTTAATTTTTGTTAGACAGGTGATCACCGGGAATAAATACATTCCCTCCTCCCAGTAGCTAGGTGTGACTCATGACTAATTTCTGGTCAATAAGAAGTAAAAGACTTTCAGGGAGTGTCCTTAAAGAGGGGGGCTGCCAATTTCCATTCTTTCCTCCTCTTGCTGGCTGGAACATAGACATGCGGGCTGGAGCTGGGCAGCCACCTTAGCCCATGAGGTAATCTTGGGACTGGGAAGTGTTACCAGGGGCAACACCATTCCTCTCTTGGGCTGACCTTGAATATGAGCAAGAAAGAAATTTCCATCTTACATAAGCAGTTAAGGCTTATCACTTATGACACAGTGCTTATTCACACCAGGATTTGACAGAGCAGCTCCAGCAACCTGGTCGCAATGACAGGTTTCCAAAGCACATAAAATCCTCATAAACAGAAAAATCATAGTTAGCCTGGAATGGGGGCTCGAGCTGCCACCTGCTATCTCAAAGAACCTGCAGTCTCAAAATACTCCGCCGCTAATTCCCTGCATGACCGTGACCGAGTGACGCTGACCTGTCCCTTCAGAGACCTGCAACATGGCCTCAGAAGCAGCCTCTCCTCAAGTGCCACAGTAACAACCCTACCAGTTGGGACAGGGTGGAACACCAAGGAAGGGCCTGGGAGGACCCCCTGACCAAGATGCCCACTTCCTCTCCTATTCCAATTTCCGGGGGACAGCAGCAAACAGCAGCACCCCTGGGCTCAACTGCAGCAGGTCTTCCTCAGAAGGTGTGACCAAACCCGGGGTGCCGTGGGCCAAGAAGGCTCTGGATGACTCCAGGTGTATCCAGGGCTCCGGCTTCACCACCAGCACTGAGGGCCACTGAGGTCGGCCAGCCTGTCGCCATGAGCTGCCTTCACCCCAACAAAGCCTCCCCCTTTGACAAACTTGAGCAGGGCCCCTCTGAGCCTTATTCTTGACTAGACCTAGTTCTAGCGGGGATCCTGTCAGTTTGGGGAAAAGCTTTTGATCTCTTAGCAAACTCCTCACCCCCACCCTTGACAGCTAATGCATCTCACTCAGTCCTCAGCGTGTCCCCTCACTCGGCTCTAAGTATCCACTTTGCTCTATTCGGAATTGAGCTCAGCCGCTCTCCCCTGCAGGCCTAACTTGCCATTTTTTTTAAAAAAAGATTAATTTATTCATACAGAACTGGGGTACAGGCCAGAGATGTAGAGGGTGAGAGGATTCACCAGGAACAGAGTGGGGAGCAGAACATGCAGATCGACGAAGTACACTGCTGAGGGGAGCAGAGGGTGGGTCAGGAGAGATCTGCCTCGCCATGTGGATCTCCTCAGGGGCAGGCAGGCAGGCAGGGATCGAACTCATGCGGAAGTGGCTTAAGCTTCTTAGTGCTGTGCTTTAACCGCTGCACCACCAGGGAGGGCCCCTAACTTGCCATTTTTAATAAGCATCAGAATAAGTTTCCTTCATTAGAACACACGCTCTCCATGCAAGCCAAAGAAGGGTGTTGGTTAAGGGCATGGGACTCTGAGACTTGAGGCTCTTACTTCAAATCTCCAAACGAGGGGAGGGAAAGGGACAAAGGATAGTGGGGAAGGAAGCAGCATCTGTGAGCAGCACCTGTATGTGCCAGCCCAATACATCTAATCTTTCAGATTTAGGTTAGCATTTAAAAAGAAGAAGAAGGTGATGGCACACGGGTGATTTGGTGGTGGAAAACCCAGGCGGATTACAACCGGGATTGGAAAAAAGCACAAAATGATGTAAAAATAAACTATTATATTAACATTTTTTTAAAAAAGAGAGATATTAGGATAGAGGAAAAAAAGAAAAAGGCCCTCCTTGTGACCTAGCACTCTCAACTACTGCCAGCCACAGCAGCATGAGTTCGATCCCTGGCCAGGGAGTGACCCACATGGCGCAGCTGACAGCTCCTGTCTCCCCGCTGTTCCCCTCAGCAGTGTATTTCAGTTAATCCGCTTGTTCTGCTCCCCACTCTGTCTCTGGTGAATCCTCTCCCCCTCCTCCGCACCACTGGCCTGTGCCCCCATTCTTATATGTATAAATAAATAAACAAATAAATCAAATCTTTCTAGAAAGAAAATAATATATCTCCACCCTATACCTTTCCAGCTGTGTGGCCTTGGACAAGGTGTTCAACCTCTCTGGGCCTTTTCTTACATTGCCAAAAGAGCCCTACCAAAGGCTCCTGCCCCGCACGGCTGTTGTGCCCAGGCAGGGAGGGAAGCTGGTGTGTGTTTGGCCCTCCGCGAGGCGACAGCGCTACTGTGAACTGGGTGTATTATTATCCCATTTTATAGATGAAGGAGGACGCCGAGGCCTAGAGTCGAGCACAGCGGGATGGGATCTGAACACAGACTGTGTCTGCCTGGGGCCTGGCTTCCTCACCTGTCCTGCCTGAGACATTTCTCAGAAACCAGGGCCTGGGAGGGGGCGGAGGGAGACACTGGCGTGACCCAGGGAAGCCCAGAGCAGGTCTGGCAGCCCAGCCCAGCAGGGAAGGGTGGTGGAATTCAGGAGTCTGAGAAGCCTCCAGCTGCTGCCTGTGGCCTGTGCTTGCCCATTCTGACAGGACACCAAATGCTCAGCCACGGAAGCCTATGGCTGACAGGAAGGGAGAGTTAGGGTTGGGGGAGCCTGCCCAGCACCCCTCCCCCAGCAATGGCAAAGAGGCATCTGGGGGGCTGCAGAGACTGATTCCCACAGGGCTGTATTGGTCTCACTTGAGCAGAGGTTCAGAGAAGTGAACCTGGGGGGTCAGAATCTTAAATTAGGGGCCAGCGTCTTAGCTTGAGAAGGATCCTGGGTCCAGAGGAAGGAGGGGGCACCAGTGGGGGCGTTTTCTGGCTCACAAATGGGACGCCAGTCCTCAGGCAGAGCGGGTGCTGAACCCAAACAGGCCTGAGGGGTAGACAGTGCTCAGGCGCCAGGGAGGTCCCTGGCCCCTGTGTCCCGGGTCCAGGTGAAAAGCAAGGGTGCTCTGGAGTGGGAGCTGAGGAGGTGCTGGGGTGCAGCGGTCTGGAGCACCCTGAAAGGGAGGCTTTCAGGCCCAGAGCAGGCTGGGGCGGAGCTGGAGCAGAGGGGAAGACCCAGTTAGGGTCTGGTAGGGACTGGAGGGGTTCCTCGGTGCCCAGAAGATTCTCTTTCTTGGGAATTCAAGGGTGGATAGGGGCTCTCAGGGAAACTTGGGGGGGAGGGAGGAAGGTGGGGGAGGAGGGAGCAGCACAGAGCTGGGTGGGGCGGCTTCCTGTGGTGATGGGGAGATTCTGCTCTCTTTGAGGGGTGAAAAGTCCCGGGAGGGACTCTGAGGCTCCTCCCAGAGTGGGTATCAGAGGGGTGAGAGTGGGTATCAGCGAGGGGTTCTCAGTGGCCTTAAGGGGAGTCCCTGGTTGAAAAGCCCCTGGGAGTCCTGCTGAGGTAAGGGTTTGAGGTGCAGAGCGGGAGTCCCAGTTGGGAACTTCTGACAGGAAGCAGTTGGTGTCACCTTTGGGGAGGGTGCTCTTCCTCTCTGGCACACATCCACATTTGGGAGCTGCTGAATTAGAAACCCCAAGTCCAGAGGGAACAGGAGTATCCCTATTAGGGGGAAAACCCCGAATTGAGGGCCCCCCAGTACAAGAGAGATGTTAAAGCTGGTGTGGAGCACGTGGAGATGGTCTTGCATCTGAGTCAGGGATGGAGCCAGGAGTTTGGGGCCCAGAGAGGGGTGGTCTCAGACTGGAGGTGGGTGGACCCTCCCCGGGAAGTGGTCTAGGCCCAGGAGGGCAGAAGTCTCAGGTGGGAGCCCCAGGCCCTTGTGAGGGTGCCTCCCCTGTTGGGTCAGTGTGGCCTTAGCAGTACACCCTAAAGCGGATCTGGAAATTCAGGGTTCTCGCTCATCCTGACCTGGGTCAGGAGGAGGCTGGGGCAGGGCTTCCTGAGAAATGTCTGGAAGCACATCTCTGGAGAGTCAGGAGACACTGTGGGAAGTCTGCAGGCCCAGCCCAGAGGGGACAGGTGCTGCAGGACAGAGCCCAAGCCCAGAGTGTCCAGGCCCTTGCTGGAGTCCTGAGGATGGCCCTGGACCCAGAGGGGACTGGAAGGACTGGGTCTCCATGAGGGTTAAGGCAGAGAAATGGGGTTCCAGATGCTCAGCGGCAGCCCTGGTCTGGGCCAAAACTGGGGCATCGCCTACTGGGAGGAAGTGCTGGGGTGCAGACTTCAGAGAGGGAGGCAGACACCCGAGTATGGGATTGGTCCTCACTGGGGGATGTGGAGGGTACCCCAGGCCGGGCAGGGAGTGGGAGCTGAGTTAGGGGTATCGCCTAGCTGCCCAGAGTGGCGAGGATGAGACGGGTCCCAGGTGCTCGCTGGCTTGAAGGGTGGCAACGGCGCTCACGTACCCACGGTGGTGACCAGCGTGCTGGCAAAGAAGAGGGCCGAGGCGAAGTCCCAGGACTGGTCCGAGGTGTTGGTGAGCGCGGCGCGCCCCAGCCGTCCGGCCGCCAGCATCCGCTCCACGAAGTGGTCCAGGGCTGGGGCGGGCACGCACGGGCTGTTCCGCAGCAGCTGCTCTCGCAGTTTCTCCAGCTCGGCTCGAAGTTGAGCTTCATGAGGCGCTTCCAGCCGCGCCACCAGCAGCGCACCCAGCACCAGGTACGCGGTGTATCCCGCCAGGGCGCCCGCCAGGAGCACGCCCCGCCGCATGGTGCCCTCCGCAGCCGGCTCCCCGACAGCCCGGGGCCTCGCCGCTGACGTGGCCCCCGCCTCTAGACGACCCGGAGCCTGGTTTCAGTTCCGGAAGCGCACGAGCGGCGGCGGCAAGCGCCCCAAAGAGAAAGGAAGGAAAAAGAGGAGGGGCGGAGGTGGACGAGCGCCCCGCCTCCGGGAAACTGAGGCACGCCCCAACGCCAGGTGTTAGTTCTGAGAGGGTGGAGCCCAGCGTTCCGGACACTGGAGGCCAACAGGATGCAAAGTGGGGTCTCCCTCTTCCAGGAGTCACGACTCCTTCTGTTAGAATCTGAGTTTCTCCTGGCGCACCGAGGGGACCCCCGCTTCCCCACCCTTCAGGGCCATGGCAGACGGCTGCGAAGATTGTGCACGTCGCCAGGACGCGTGGCTGCGGGGGCCCCATGGCGACGTGAAATCCAGTCCTCACTCTGTTGGCCAAGTCGTGTGCTCTAGAGTGCGCTTACTCCACCCTGAGGAGCTGGTGTCTAGTTCACCAGGGACCCCCGACAGGAGCGGCTGTGCCCATGCCCGCAGGGACACAGTAGGGGTGCTTAGCTATTCACCAAATCTTTGCTCAGCACCCACTTCATGCCTGGCTCTTTGCTGGGAAATGCCAGGGTATACAGCAGTGACCTGGACAGTCCTGGACCCTGCCCTGGAAGGGGGGGACTTCAACAGGGTAGCAATGGAGTTAAGGGCTGTGAGTGGGGAGGCAGAGTGAGCAGGGTGGTGAAGGAGAAAGCCTTGAGGACTAAGAAAACCAAAGGGCTAAGCCCTCCCTGGTGGCACTGGCCGTAGACCCCTCAGTGCTAGTTCGGTCCCCCGCCTGGGAGGATCCAATGGTGCAACAGACCTCTCCCTCGGCAGTGTATTGGGTCAATCTGCTCTTGTTCTGCTCCCCTCTCTGGTGAGTCCTCTCACCACTCCTGCACATCTAGCCTGTACCCCAGTCTGTATGCACAAACAAACAAATCTTCAAAAAAAAAAAAATGATGCTATGAGGGGGGGTGTGTGTCTCAAGACAGTCCTGAGGAAAGGGCAATCCTAACTGAGACAAGGAGCTTGGATAGGCGGGAGAAGGGCCCCTGTCCTGGCTGAACCAGATACACGCCTCTGTTTTAGAGGGACTTTTCCATCCCTGTCCCCTGCACGTCCACCTCTGGTTGCAACCCAGCACCTTGCCTGACCACCTCTGACCACCTCTGAGAAGCAGAGAACTGGGGTTTGGGGCCCTGCTCAGAGTTCCCAGCTGGTTCTATTTATAAAACTGTCTCAGATCTTGGATAAGTGCCCATCTGGGGGCTGACAACCCACAGGAAGAGACACCTGATAATACAAACAGTGACGGTAGCTGCCAGTGAGCAAAAGCTTACATATGCCCAGTCCCTGTAACTGCTGAATCCTCCACCCTCCTGTATCATTCCTATCAAGAAGACAGATAAGACAACTGAGGCTTAAAAATAGTCACACAACTAGTCATGGGTAAACGTGCAGCCACTGGAAACGCAAAAATACTGGCTTTATTAATCACATACATGCACACTTCACACTCTCAAGGGATTTCAAGGGATAAAGGGAGAGGGAGGGCTAAAGATGGGAAATGGTGGTGGGACCCACAGATACTAAACCTGAGGTGCTGAAGAGGAATGGGGGCACCGCATTCACAGAACAGGACCTGCAACTAGCCAAGAGTCCTAAGTCAGAGACCAGAACTGTCCTCGGTCTCGGGGTGGGGGGGAAGCCGTGTATCAGAGGAAGAAAGGGGGAAGTCACAATGACAAAGTCACTTGCTGACATCCTTCCGGAGTGCTATCACTGCCCATAAGTCACTTCTACCATTATCTTTGTCTGCATAAGTGGCGGAAACTGAGGGACAGAAAGGTGGGGGGGGAGGTCGAGAGCGGAGAGAAAGGGGGAGACTGCAGGACAGAGCGGACAAGGAAGCTTAATTTCCAGGGCTCCTGGCTTGTAGTGTGCCTGCGTGTGCTCTGAGTCGCTGGGCGTTGTGAGTGAGGAGAAGCCAGGTGACATAACAAGAGCACTTTTAAAGCTTGCTGCGAGATCACCTCAAGATGCCGTCCGACAAAGACACTAGGTGCGTCCCCTAACTTGTTGGGTGTCCTTTTCTCACTCCACAAGTTCACTTTAATATTTAAGGTGTGCAAGAACTGTCTGAACAGTAGAGTCCGCATAACTGTCTAGCCCGCCCGGAGACCCTCTCCCTGGCTCCCCAGCGCCCTCGCGATCAAAAATGAGCCCGCGCCCGTGGAGAACACCATTTCTCCCCCACCGCAGCGCCCGAAACCTACATTTCCCAGCATGCCCGACAGCGCCGACTCCTCCAGAGCTCCGGGCTCCGCCCATCCCCTCCCTCCTCCTTCCCCGCCGCGGCCCCGCCCGGCCCCGCCCCGCCCCTCCCCTGCGTCACGGCCCTCGGGTCCCCGCCCCTTACCCATCACCAACTTGTCCGCGCTCTCCGCCAAGGGGCGTGGTTTCTGGCGACCGCGACGCCCATTGGCTGTCGCGTTACCGGTGGGCCGTGCCTACGGGAGCCGGGCGGGCACATTTCGAACCACGGCTGGGGCGGCGGCGGCGGCGGCAGTGGCGGCGGCGAAGGATGCATTCGGCGGGCTTGGGAGCGGCGGGGACTCCCCGTCAGCGTAAGTGGCGTACGTGGCCAGCCCTGGACATCGGGGGGGCGGGGGCGTCGCGGCGGTTGGCGGGGTCGCTGCGGGTCGGAGGTCAGGGATCTGGTGGAGGTTCGAGGTATGCGCGGCCAGGGATGCCAGGTTGGGGTCGGGGCGCGTTGAGGTCCGATTCTTTTCTCTTCTTTAGGTAATTACTTTAGGAGAAAACAACTTTGGGCAGGGTATTGAGCGATGTGCAGGAAGCGCGGCTTTCATTCATTTCCAGCTTGCGACCCGCCTGCTCCCGCCCTTCCGCGGCCTCCCGCGGTCGCCCCCCTTCCTACTGGGAGTTCACGGCCCGCGCGTGTGCGGCGGGCTGCTGAGCCTGTGCTCGTGGACGGCCAAGCCCCTCGTCTGACTGCTGCGGTGCGCGCTCGCTGAGCTTGCACGCATCTCGTGTATTCACTCAGCGCCGCGCTCCGAGCGCCCTTGCTCCCTTGCGCCAGGCCCTGTGCTGGAATCTGGGTACTGGGTAGTAACCGGCATAGCCTGGTCCCTGTAACTTGCAGCTCGGCCGTTTAGTGAGGAGACAGACACTAAGTAGGAAGGGGCAAGGTAATTTGGGGAGTAATTAGGGCTGGAAAGGGGAAAATCTAGGATGTGGCTGGGGGTGTAAGAGCCTCTGTTAAGGAAAGAGGATGTGCGGGTCACCCTCAGTAAGGTGGCTGGGGGGGCCCCGTGGGGAGTGATGCTGGGGATTCAGCAGCACCCACGCAGCTCTAGTTCCTGTTCTCCTGCCGCTATGTACTGCGCAGAAGGCAGCAACCATCAGGGTTATGATGAGAGAAGCAGGGCTGGGGGAGGACAAACCGAGGGGTTATGGCTGGGGTGGAGGTGTTAACCCTGGCTGGGCAGATGGCCCAGTCTGGGGGTGTCAGAGAAGCTTCTTGGAAGAGTGTGTCTGACGATGAGGAGTAAGCCTAGAGAAGGGGATTTGTGGTGAGAGGGGAAAGCATGAGAGGTGTGTGCTAAGGAGACAAGTGGATATACATTATATATTTAGAAATTATGCTGATAAGTGCTCAGATGAGAAAGAACAGCAGCAGGGCTGGCAGTAGTGTGGAGGAGTGGAGTTCCCTGAGAAGACACATTTGCACTCAGGCCCCAGTGCGGTGTTGCAGGCGGAACCGGTGACAGCATCGTGCTCAGGATTCACAAGCCTGTGGAGTCGAGGCTTCTGGAAGGCCCAGGACCCTGAGAAGGCCTCGGAAGCTGGGGTGTGGTAACAAACCAGGGTGGTTGGCCCGGCTGGGTCAGGCAGAGGGAGAGCACTGGGGTCTTATTCTCCACACAGTGGGCCCTGATCTCAGGCAGAGGACTTGAAATGTTCCCCTTTGCACTTACAAAGATCACTCTTGATGCCAACTGGAGAGGTTTGATAGGGCTAAGAGGGGGCCTGGGATGGGATATCTCAGCGAGTGCAGCATGGAAACTTGGGGAGGAACCAGCAAGTGGTTGGACTCCAGAAAGAGGGCATCAGGGGTACAGAGACGGAAGAAGGGCCTGGGGCGGCCTGAGCGGCCAGCACAGCCCAGCGGCCAGCACAGTCCAGCGCCCGGGCACACCGTGGCTGCAAGAGCTGTGGGCGGGCGAGATCGCCTAGATGAGAGGCGATGAGGCCAAGGGTGGAAATCTGGGTCACGCGTTTCGGGGAGTTGGAAATCACTGATGGAGAAGGACAGATCGGGAGCTGTCAGCTCTGCGGAGGCGGGGACTTTGTCTCTGTGGTCAGGCATCCACCCTTCCAGCAGAGCCTGCGCACAGAGGTGCCTCAGAGATGCCTGTGAGGCTCCCACAGAAGGGAGAAAGAGCAGGTTCCGTGCCCAGAAGCCAAGAGAGCAGCTGGAAGTCACCTTGGTGGGGGGGGCAGGGGCATCAAATGCTGCCCAGGCCGGAGTCCTGAGCGGCAAGAATGGCCTCCCAGGCAGTGCAGGGAGATGCTGAGGTGACCTGGGCGGAAGCCCCAAGTGCCTGGCCTTGGGGTGACAGGGTGGAGGAGGGAAGGCATCACTTTGCCTCGGGTCATTAACTCCCTGTCTATGGAGGAGAAAACTGAGGTGCAAAGCAAGTCATGAGGCAGACTGATTGCCGCTCCCCACCTCCGGAATCTGCCACCCTGCTCCCTGAGCCACAGCAGCGCCCGCACAGAGGTGGCACTCGGGGAAATACTTGTGGCAGTGGCTGGCTTACTGGTCGGCAGCAGGGGCCTGGAGGAGAAGCCAGTCCAGATGGCCCGGGTTCCCTGCAAGCGTACCACCTGCCCATTTCCGGCCAGCCTGCCCCTCCTCCCCCCACCTGCCCCCATCCTCTCCCTGCTGGGGGCCAGAGGCCGCTTTGAGAACCCTGAAGCCTGGCTCTGCCTCATCCTCTGTGTGGCTTAGGGCAAAGGCCTGAAGTCTTTGGGTTCACTTTCTCTTCTGCAAAGTAAAGGTGGCGAGGCATCAGTGGTAGGGGTGGCCAGGGTGACGTGCACTCTGTGTGGAACAGGGCCTGGCTGTGCTCGGCGCTCAGCTGGGCAGTGACTGTGGGTAGCTGGTCGGGCTGCCCGCTGCACCCCTCTGTCCTCCCCCAGCGTGGGCCTGTGCACGGGACGTGTAACCCTCCAGGGCTTCGGTCTCCGCCTCTGTGAGACGGGGCTGCACATTACTCCATCGGCTAACCTTCCCCACCTGGCAGCTGGGGTGTCAGATCCCCACCTTGGGGGGAGTCGCATTTGAGAAGAAACAAATAGAGGAGCCCTTGTTTGGAACAGGATTTTGCGCACGGAAGGTCCTGGTACCTGCTGGCCTCATCATCAGCCATCGTCATCGCACATAATTGATGGGAGGGGAAGGGGTCAGAGCCACCCCTGAGGGCCCGCCTGTCGCAGAGCTGTGATCTCCAGCGGTAGCACCCGCTCTCTGCACACTGACTCCCCACCTTCTTCCTCTGCAGCCTCGAAACGGAGGGTCCCTGTGTCCCAGCCAGGCATGGCTGACCCCCACCAGCTATTTGATGACACGAGCTCAGCCCAGAGCCGGGGCTATGGGGCCCAGCGGACACCCAGCGGCCTGGGCTACCCTGCAGCCCCCACCTCGCCCCCGGCGGCCTTCCTGACTGACCCCATGTCCAACATGGCCATGGCCTATGGGAGCAGCCTGGCTGCACAGGGCAAGGAGCTGGTAGATAAGAACGTGAGTGCCTGGCTGTGGGTGGGGGTGGAGGGGCGCTGAGGGGCCAGGGCTTCAGGCTCGAGCTCTGTCTCCCCAGATCGACCGCTTCATCCCTGTCACCAAGCTCAAGTACTACTTCGCGGTGGACACCATGTATGTGGGCAGGAAGCTGGGCCTGCTCTTCTTCCCCTACCTGCACCAGGTCAGCACTTGGCCCCGCTGGGGGTGCAGCCCAAGGGGGAGATGGCCTCTGGGTGGGGGGCAGGGGTGGATTTGCCCCAGAGAGGGCCTATTTGTAGGGCGGGAGGAGCCCAGCTCTGGGGGTCTGCCTGTGACCCCCACTACCCCCACAGGACTGGGAGGTACAGTACCAGCAGGACACGCCAGTGGCCCCCCGCTTTGACGTCAATGCGCCTGACCTCTACATTCCAGGTTTCACCCTACTCACTCCTGGTGCCTTCCTTGCTCGGGGTGGGGTGCCCGGGGCGGCAGTTGAGGTGTCCAGAGGCCTAGGATGGCCCCTCTTTCTGACCTGTGTCTGTGTCTATCCCCGCAGCTATGGCCTTCATCACCTACATCTTGGTGGCTGGCCTTGCACTGGGGACCCAGGATAGGTAAGAGGGGCCTGGGATAGGCAGAATGGGGTGGGCTGGGGGGGCTCAGGGGCACTCAGGAAAGTGTCCTGGTACCCCCCTTGGCGTGCTCTCAGTGGACCCAAGCCAGAGCACTTGCCTCTTCCCTCCTTCCAAAGCCATCGCCGCACGCTATGCGGAGAGTCTAAACCCCTTCCTCCCTCGTGGCCTCCACCACCTACCCACCCCTTCACACTCTCCTAACTGGCTGCCCCAGCGCCCAGACCCCTGCCCGCTGGCAGCAGCAGGAAGGTCTTGTCTGAGACGTGGGCCTGGCCACACCCCACCCTGCTCAGGGGTTGTCCATTGTCCCCCGCCCCCAAACCAAGCCGCAGCCCCCGGGCCCTGGCACTGCCCTGCAGGCAGCCACGCTGCCCCTTCTCCGCACACTGCTGCTTGCTGGTCCTCTCTCTGTGCCTCCGGAGGGCCGGGCCGCAGCCCCAGGGCCTTTGCACATCCAGCACCCCCTGGCTCAAGACAACACCTGCTCACTCACAACATCCCTGCCCTTAGGGGCGCCTTCCCTGCACACCCCAGGCTGGATCAGGCGTCCACTCGCCCTCGTAGGGTCTTCCACGAGGACAGGCCCACATCCATCTTGTGACTGCCAAGTCTCCAGCCCACACCAAGCCAGTGCTCAGGGGGTCTGAGCTCCCCAACCGAATGTCAGTGTTTGGGTGCCGGCAGGTTCTCCCCTGACCTCTTGGGACTGCAGGCGAGCTCAGCATTGGCCTGGCTGACCCTGGAGGTGCTGGCCATCCTGCTCAGCCTCTACCTGGTCACGGTCAACACCGACCTCACCACTATCGACCTGGTGGCCTTCTTGGGCTATAAGTATGTGGGGTGAGTATCCCCCACCTACCCTTCCTGCCAGCCCAGCCCGGTGCCTTTTCCTCAGACTGGCCTTCCTTCTCCCCACCAGGATGATTGGCGGGGTGCTCATGGGCCTCCTCTTTGGAAAGATCGGCTACTACCTGGTGCTGGGCTGGTGCTGCGTGTCCATCTTTGTGTTCATGGTGAGCTGGGGCTTGGGGAAGATGGGGCTGAGGCCTGTGGGCAGAGTGGGGGGGTGCTGGGGGCCCTGGGGGCCCCTGGGTAGAGAGTGTCAGGTGGGGAGTTTAGACCTGAGCCCCACTGCTGAACTCAGGAGCCCCAGCCCGGGGTCAGGAGGCCTTCCTGGAAGAGGTGGCTAGTGTGGGCCTGGAAGGAAGAGGAGGCGCCAGCCAGGCTGCCCCAGTGGGCTGACAGCTTCACCCCACAACTTACGTGGGCTTTCCTGCCAGAATTTGTTGGGATAAAAAAGGGTTCAGCAACCCCCGAAGTAGCTTCTCTGAGAGCCCTTCCAGGCAAAGTGGAGGTGCCAGTTTAGAGCTCTGGCATATCAGGGGTGACCCCTATTTTTGCTGGCTCCCAAGCAAATCCCTCCCTCTCTGTAGGTCTCACTTTCTCCTTTTGTAAAATGGGGGTGAGACTAACTGTCCTTCGGGGCCTTGGAGGGTTCAGTGGGAGCCCCTGTAGGAGCAGAAGCAAGCCGGGGCCTGGCCGCATCTGACCTCAGATAAGCATATCCCCTCTTGATTGCAGACCCCTGGTTAAGAGGGGGGCAAGAGGGGCGGGGGAGCCTGCCCACCCCCCACCAGGCTTCCTGGCCGCAGGTGCCGCCCCACAAGCCTGCCCTGGCTGGAGCCCTCACATTCTCGCAGGCCGTGGGAGGAGCAAGTCCTCGCCACGCGGCAGGACTTAGGGAGACGGGTACCGCGGGAGCAGAGCGAGCCCGGGTGGAGGAGTGGGGAGGGCGCCGGGCCGAGTGGGCCGGGCCTGGCGGGAGCGGCGCCGC